AGATTTTATGTTTTTAAAGCAATATAATTGTTAATTTTGATGATTAAAAAATTTAAGATGGAGGTGCAATCAATGTAATGTTCTTCTTCACCTATTCTTATTTTAAAAAATTTATACCTCCTAAAATGGTTGGGAGAGGTGTTATCAATATGATACCACTTATTTTTAAAATATTTTTGAAAAATTTAAATTATATTTTTAATATATATATATGTTAACGTCAATGTGTTTTTTCCGGCAATGTGTTATTAGTTCAACTATAAATCATTTTTTGAGCGCGTTTTTAAACATTTAAAAATCTAATTTTACCGGAAATGTATATTGAATTTCATATAATTTTTTCATAAACTTTTAAATTTAATACAGTAATAATATGATTAGTTGTAACACATTTTCATAATGTGAAAAACATTCTTATATAGTTAAATAACTTTCCATAATTATTGTAAAAAACATTTAGATATAAATTAAATTTTTTAAATTTTTAAAAGTTTTTAAACTTTAATGAAGACTAACATTTAAGTTATGAATCAAATAGTTTTTTTGGACACAAGTTTAAGTGGAAAAATGAGAATTCAAAAAAAATTTTAATAATAAAGTTCTTAAACTTTAATGAAGCTAACGTCAAAGTTATGAATCGAATATAGTTTTTTTATGTTTTGGGCATAAGTTTAAGTGGAAAAATAAGAATTTTAAAAGATATTATATAAAAAAAAATTTCTAGGATTTTTACAATACCTTTTTTAAATTTAAAGAATTATTCCAATATTTTACTTTTAGTTATCCAAAGCATGGAAATCAGGATAAGAAATTTGAATAATTTCTTAAATAAACATGAGTGAAAACTCGAATTTAGGGTTTTCAGATAATTCTTATTTGTTTAGAATTTTTTATGATCAATTTGAAACACCAAAATAAAAAAAACCATTTATCATTTATTTATTCTTTGTAAATAAAATATTGCATAATATAAATCAATTACAAATTCAATCATTTAAAGGTATGCATCGAATTCCCTCTTCAATAAACTTTATGGTGTGAGAATAAAAATTTGAAAAATTATATGTAAAATAATTGCCTAAAATACTCGTAACAATTGAAATAACTTCATTTCGGTTATTGGGTTTAGGAGAATTTGATCTATATTGATTTTTAATTACTCCGAAAAAAATTTCTATCGGATTTAATTGCGGCGAATAGGGTGGCAAAAATATGATATTTGGATAATTCTCACTAATTATCCTCGCTCGATGTATAGGAGCATTATCCATTATAAGTAATGAATTTGATGGTAAAAGTGCGAATAATTCATCCAGGTATGTCTTGAATTTTATCGCAGTAAAAGCCCCATCTATTATTGTGAATTTTTTCAATCCACTTATTCCTATTGTGCATAGGTTACCGGAAGTTTTTAAAAATATAATGTTTTTCTCAAAATTTTCTTTCAAGTTTTTATAAGTATTTTTAAAATAGAATGTATTTTTCACAACAAGTTTTTACAATAATTACGGAAAGTTAAATTGAAGTGTCGGGGCTTCCGTTATGGGTAGAATGGTTGGTGGCACATCTCGATGATTTTTGGTATGCGTCATTTTAGGTTAATAAAAGCAACTACAACAATTAAATTTTAAATTTTATTTAATTTTAAAACCAAAAAAAAATATAAAAAAATAAGATATATCTGAAAACCTTAAATTCAAATTTTCTTTCACTTATGTTTATTAAGAAATTATCAAATATCTTATCCTGATTTCCATTCTTTAGACTAAAAGTAACATTAATATATTGAAATAATACTTTAAATTTAAAAAAATTTACAATGCATTTAAAAAAAAAATTATTCTAAAAATATTAGAAAATTTTTATTCTCATTTTCCCACTTAAACTTGGGTCCAAAACATAAAAAAATTATATTCGATTCATAACTTTGACATTAATCTTCATTAAAGTTAAAAAACTCTTATTATTAAAAAAAAATTAAAAAAATTATATCAAAAATTTTTTTAAATTTTATCAAAATATTTTTACAATAATTATGGAAAGTTATTTAACTATATAAGAATGTTTTTTCACATATGTGTTACAACAAATCATATTATTATGTATATTCGATTTCCCATATATTTTTTATATAATTTATAAATGACTCAAAGGTTAACAGCAAAATTGACTGCAATTCATAAGATAGGTATTCCAAACATGATGGAATATATTTCAGGAAAAATCAGATAAAACGACATCTTTATATAATTTTCTCGTGAGTAAAAGATGGATGCGATCACCCTATTATCTATTTAAATATGTTATCTGAATACAAAGGATTTTTAAACTCCGCCCAAAATATATTTTCTAAAAAATATAAATCTTATAATAGATAAAAATGGCGATTATAATTTGCAAATTTAATTAATTATTGTTTACAGAAGTTTCCTGTCACCCAGCATTTAAAAAATAATAATAATTTAATTAGGTATTTTGAATTTTATTATTTTCAAAAATCAATATCGATTTTTTTATCAAAAAAATCAGATAATTAGATAGAATAGTTTATTTTTTAAAATATTGATGCGCATCGAAATTATTAAAAGGTTAATTTAATAATCCATCATTAGATTTTACCTTGTTATGCTTCCTTTTGCAAAAAAGATATTGATAAAATAAATGGTGTTTGGAGTTAAAATATTTTTATTTAGGAAATAAAATTATAAATTGAAATATATAAAACGGTTTTTTAACAAAATAATTCAAGAATTAGTCTTTGTCTAAAAAAATATATATAATTAATGAGAATGGGAAATAAAATAAATAAGTTATTAAAAGGTTAATTGATTTATTAATTATAATTTTGTAAAATTATAAATTTCCTCTTTCTTTCTATATATTATATAAAATTACAATTTTTTTAAACCAAATTTTCAATTACTTAAAAAATTCAGCTATATTAAACGAAATTTATTGTATTGTTAAATGAGTAACATAAAAATGGAGGTTGTCCGGATAGTAAAATTTTTTATTTGTTTAGTTTGACCAATATTTTTGGAAAGGGACAATCTTAAATTTGCATTCTGTTAAAAAAAAATTTCCTATAAAATTTTGAACAAACTTGCCCAAACAAATTTTGGCTACAAGCCATGCAGAAGTTGATCTCAAATAACATAATATCTGTTTCTAATATATTATTTTTAATATCCAATAATAGTAAGTAAAATTATATTTTGTATGTGGACTAAATTTTAAATAATATACCGAAAGCAATTTTTAGGTTTGAAAAATCTAATTTGACCTGGAATTTATTCCAGCATGTATTTTTCTGTGATTTTAGATAATTCTATGATTAACTTTTGAAATATTTTTAATTTATTTAATTTTTCTATAAAATAAAATAAATAAAAGTTTGCAGCTCAAATTGTTTGAAATTCATAGAGAAGATATTCCACACATGCTGGAATGCATCTTTAATAAATCAGAATTTTTAAATTTAAAAATCACTTTCAGTAAACAATTTCAACATTTTTGTTTGTAATTTTTAACTCACCTGAATAGTACACATGGTAGATACCAATTTGGAATTATTGGTGTTAATGTCAAATAAAAATTTATGGCGCTGAAAAATAAATATGATATTACTAATATATTTTCTTAGTGTAATAAATATTATACTAATTTAATAATTAAAACTATTACATAGTTTAAATTAAAATCTTATACGTTTCACTATATTTATAAAATTTGTGAAGGGAATCTAGATCAGAATTGAATTATATCTAGGTGGAGTGTATTAATATTAACAAAGATCAACACTTGGCAGAAGGTTCAGATAAGAAATACTTTTGATAAAAGTCTTTTTATTAATCTTTAACTAATGGTTTTACAAAAATTTCATAGGAGTAGTTTTTCAATTATAGAATATATAAATCAAAAGTAAATATATAATAATTTATGTTAATCTAAAAAATTATTAATCAAAGGCAAAACATATATATAATGTATTTTGCAGCTATAAAACACATTTAAATTTTATAATCGAATACCATTAAGAAAAAAAGATAAAATCATATTATAAATAATTTATAGTATGTACAATTATCAAAATAATATTAAAATATTACTATGATTAGAAAACAAATTTTAAAATTAAAAATAAGAGAAAATAAAATTTTATTACATGAAATAAATAATTGATTTTTATTAGAGACCTGCAGGCCAAGTCTGAAATCCAACCCAGAATGGGCTAAAAAAATGGTATGATTTTTCAAGACAGGGTTAAAAACTTGGGCAGGTTTGAATTTAAAATAATAAATTTGAATTCTCTTAGAAAATAATAAGATAGAAAAACAAGTGTTTGATATTCATTTACTGTTCATACTTAAGATTTCCGCTCAAAACACAACCATAATTTATTAAAAAATTAAATTAAAAATTCTGACCTGTAAAATGATTAAAAATAAAAATCCAGGTCATATTTTCAAAAAAAAAGATTAATTTTTTGGCAAATCCATGCCTAAAATTTTCATATTCCCAGGCATCTGATTTTTATAGATGGTATATAATTAAGAGCTTATATGAATGTAAATATTAAACATAAATGAAACAAACTTAGCTCTAACGGGGAAGAGGTAATATCAAAACTTTGTTTGTGAAGTAGGGAAGGAGGGTTATCACATAATCATAATATGCATGTCCATTTTATAATTTAATAATTTTAAATTTAGTCATTAGGGGTTATTCAGCATCAATGCCTTAGGGGGGGGGGGCAGGATCTAGAAGGCTGTGTAATCTAGGCAAGATTTGATATTTATTTATATTAAAAATTGATCATATTAAAATACACAATTCAATTGTTAAATGACCTGGCTCAAAATAAATGAAATGAACTTTGGATTGTCATCACAAATATAAAAAATATATAACTTAAAAATTAGATTAAATTCAGCTATTGTAAAATGTAGTCATTTCATTTAGTCTGAACTGGGCCTATTTATTTTTAAAAAAATTATTACTATATTTAGTAGAATAGGGAAAAATTTTAATATTTGACATTATAAAATTTAAAAAGACACACCAAAATCAGGGCTAATGATAATGCACGTCGCCAGACAATATATAATAATTAACTATAACGACAATATTTTATTCTCAGTAAAGTAAGTATGCTTTTTATTATTCAAAAAGATCTCCAATTATATATAATTACAATATTTTAAGAAACATATAAGATCTCACCCTAAAAATAAGAAATCACTTTCATAAGTACAAATTGATTCAGTATCAATATTTACGTGATACGTGATAAAAGCGTTTTCGCCCTCTGGTTGTGGATACAACAGAGCTACACTAGGTTTTCCTCAAAAATCCATCAAACTGGATAGTTAATTAAGGGAAGAAAAAATGAGGAGCCCTTCACACGTTTGTGAGCAAGCCGCACGTACTTGTACGCGCAACAGTCCGAGAACTGTTGCTTAAACGTCTATAGGCTAATAGACAAAAAGAAATGGGCAAAACAAAAGCCTATACCCAAGAACTGCAAAAATAATTTAATTACTTTAAGGGTGGGTGGTGTCTAAAGTAGACATATAGTTGATTTTATTCTATTATATAGAATTAGTTATAAAATACTAGGCAAAATTCGACTTTTACAGACATATTTGACAGTTAGAGAATATATTACAGTTAATAATTTAACAAATTTTAGTAATCAATGCTCTTGATATTAAATATAGCAACAATTTGCATTCAATTATTTAACGCCATCTATTTCTTTTAAGATAAAATGATATAAAAATAAATCTTTCTATTATTTATCCCACAATGTCTGTAAAAGATATTTTCTGATGTCCTTATCAATATTTTATAGTTTTCTGTAAAATATATAATTCGATATATTGGTAAAATTACTTGATTGTCATTTGATAATTAGATATACTGTAAATCTACGACATATAATATTCCAATGTTTGTTTTGTGCTTTAACATTTTTTTAATTTATGATTTAATTTTATCAATAGTTTTATAATTAAATTTTACTTTTATTAAGATAAATAAATTAAAATTACTTACTTTATAAAAAATTATATTTGATATATTATATTATTTAGTAATTTTATGGATCTATTATTAATAATTATAATACATTTCACTTCTGTCTTAAGACTTATCTTTGGCTTAATATTCCATTTATTAAAAAACATTTTTAATTCATTTTACATATAATTTTATTTTCCCAAAAATCTATAAATTATGATGAATAGTTTTATAAAAAAATATCAACTTTTACTTTCTTTCTTTTAAATTATTATTTAAGATATATGCATACATATTTGAGGGTCAGGGAGTGGGGGGAGGACTAAGGGGGATATTTATTATTAGCTAAAAATGATATTTACAAAAAGTGATATCTCATTTCTGAAGGGGGGGATTTCACCTTGTCCCCCCCCCCTGGCTACGCGTATGGCTTGTCGCTATGGATGCTATGTCGCTTACGACACATCAGCTGCTCTGTTGTTTAATGTCGTGTTGTGTTTGTCGTGTCACTGCCGCTATTTACTGTGAATGCTCCCTAAGCCTCCAAATTTGTTTCCAATAGCTTATAATAATTAAAAATAAAAATATATTGACCCAAAGATAATTTTTGTTTCTTCTTTAATTTAGGTTATCTAGTTATGGGTCTGTTCGGGAGGGGGAGAGGGGTGGGGATAAATCGGCATTGGCTTAGAAGTAGAAATCCTTGTTTGTATACAGACTTTTTAATGTAATTTCTCGAATTAATTAGCAGTCTTGATCAAGATCTATGGTCAGATGTCATATTTTAATTTAAAATAAAATTATAAGTATTACTTTTACACAAGAATATAATATTTGAATAATTGTGTTATACAACTTTTATATTTATTATGTCATGACCAATTACATAATGTCCAATGACATATATGATGTATATGGTCATGTCATGATTGTTTCTATAATTTTCTTTCATAATGTGATTCAAAATTATTATAAAGATGCTTCCAAACTATCAATTTATCGCAGATAGCGATGTTAATAAATGGATTGAGAAGAAGTTTTATAAAGGTATGAATTAAAAAATTAACTTAAAAAGATTTATAATATTAATAGATACCAATATTTTTGTTTCTGACGAAGATTATAAACATACAAGTTTTTTTAAAATATATACCATTGAAATAATAGTCAACCAATTTGTTTACATATTTTTAAATCCAATTTTTAATTAATAGGTTTCAATGCTCCTATTATAACCCAATTACAAAATAAAATACCATATAATAGTGGTTACATTGATAATGATTCAGAAGATGACAACTCTGATATTAATCAATTATCCTATTCATCAAAAAAATTAAATAATGATTCAATATATAATGATTTAAGCCTTGATTTTATCAAACGAAAGAGGGGTAGGCCAAAAAAAAATTTCAATCCTTTTTTGGATTTTAATTTTACATTGGAACAAACTATAAGACAACCAGAATTCTCTCACCCAAAATCTCTGCAAACTAAATATAATAAAAATATTATTCAAGAGAATGGAAAGTAATTATGAATATATATATAAATAATTTTATTAAATTATTTGTAATTATTATAAAAATTGATTATTAGAAATAATTTATCATCTGTTTTTTAAGTAATCAAATTCACAAAGAAAGTTCACCCAACACACAAATAACAACTCCTAATCTTACTGATATAGGAAATTCAATTGTATCCAATTTTCTAAAAAATCACATATCTCCCCTAGTTAAATCTGCAGAATTAAATGACTCAAATAATCTGAGCTCAGATGAATTTCAATATCCACATAATCATTCTAATACAGAAAACATCACTTCTGGTGCCTTCAGTTTTTCTACCAAATCAATTGAAACAAAATTATTGAATGTAACAAGCACAAACTCATATTCAAAATCACACCTCATATCAGATTCAATTGATAAAGTTGTCAACAATAATTTTGAATCTCACAAAAGTATAGGAGATTTTTCCCAGGGTAATAGACAGACTAATATAATCAAAAGGTTACCAGGAATAAGGGGTAGACCCAAAGGAAAGCGAGGACGAATAGCTGCCTTATATCCAAACAGAAATGTAACACAATCATTCTTAACCGCTTACAAGAATCTAACATTTGAAGTCACTAATGAAGAACAACAACTAAATTCAGATTTGCCTAATACTTTATCAACTCTTACTAAAGGAGTTTCTGATCATGCTATAAATTTAAAAATTGAGGATCATGTTTTGGATAATTTCCCTAAAAATTATGTTAAATTTTTTGATAATAATAATAACACAGTGACTAGGAATTACAGAAAACCAAATTTCATATTCGCTAAAGATGATTCAGAAAACAGCAACAATGAAATGGATGAAGAATATTGTGGGACACAAGGACAAGGGACAAATGGTTTATATAACATATTTTATATATATTAGAGGTGTACCTATATTGCAAACATCTAAGTCCAAAAATTTTTATCTACACTAATGGCTAATATGGTTTTTTTAATTTGAGGGTTCAAATTTTAGCATCTTAGCTCTTATATTTTTGGAGATATCAAAAGGTAAATATGAAGAATAAAGGTTTATAGATTTTTTTAAAAAAAATATTTTTAACTTGGTGCTCCATTTAACCCCTTTTTATAGTTTTAAATTCCTATGAAAAATATTAATGAATTTCTCCAATTTTAAGAAAATATCATGAGACCAATCTATCAATATAAAAAAAATTGGAATGTCAATTTTTTGTTTCTTTACATGGGAAAAACATATAAAAGTATAGGCTTTTTTCCAATAAAATTTAATTAATTGTTCTAATATTATTTTGTATTTATTATGATGTTTTTATAATACTACACTATAATAAGAATATAAACATTTTTACCCTTTTATGTACAGAAAAAAAGGTCCTTATTTACTTGTTATGAAATATTTTTGCAAGATTTTTTCAAAAATGGAATATAATAATTAATTGTTTATTTTATATCAAAATTCCTTTTTAAATTTTACATGAAAATATTTTTAAAAATATTTCATGGTATGTAATATTTGCATCATAATTCAAAAATGATACCAAAAGTTAGTTATATTTTGGCCTAGCATGAATGAAAAAATATATTAGAACCTTTAGTTACATATTATGCTAAAAAATATTCTTTGTATCTTTAGTGTTTTTATTGATTTTTTACCATGAAAATGAAAACTTGGCATTACCAATTTTTTAATATAGATATAGATTCTACTTTCTGATCTTAAAATTTTATGAAACTTGGTAAAACACATTATATTTAATGGGATTAATCAGAGGTGGATACAGACCATCCTTGAGTGTGAATAAATCTTGAATTTTGAATAGTGATTGGACATGACTGGCTTTTCCAAAAAATCACCATGCCATGGAAAATTTAATAAACTAATGTCTTTAAAATCTGTTTTATCTTTACACATTATTATAAAAAAATTCCCCAAAATACCACCTTAGGAGAAAGATCCAATAGGGAATTCAATATTTAAAAAAATTTAACAAAAAATTGAATAAACTATTAGACCTCTGATATATATTTTTATTATGCATTAATTAAGTTGTTTAAAACACTAAAATTGAATTCATATCGACTAGTTAGTTTGTTACCAAAAAATTATTGCATAATGAAATTATTGCCGAATCCAATAAGCAACCAAATTTTAAAAAAGAAAGTAGTCACTAATTTTCATAGAACTCCCCCCTTTAAGCCAGTGATGCTAAGCCCCCCACCCTCCTTCTCCATCCCTCAGATGACTAAAATTTTAAATGAACACTTACTATATAATTTTTGAAATATTAACATTTAATATATTTTTTTAAGTAGAGAAATACCCTATCGTAGCCTTGAAGAAGCTCAATATCCCTTACCTTCTGAAAAACAATGGAACAGGTTTTTCAAATTTTTAATTAAAAATAAAATTTGGATTAGAAATATTGTCAAATAAAAAAAACGATGCTCATTTTTTTTAGCATAGACATAGCCAGAGTGGACAAGGGGAAATCCTCCCCCCCCCCTTCAGAAAATTCTTTCTCTTTTTTCAAAAATATATATAATATATAATCTTAAATTATGATTATAATAGTGCGGCATAATTGAGTTTTTTCGAAAAAAAGCAAACCTTGAGAAAATCTAAAAAACATAATATAATTCTTTATATCTAAATAATAATAAATACACGTTATTGTACAAGTGCCTTTTTAGCCTTTGAAGGTCCACCTATGCATCGTTTTTGACCTATTGGAGTGTCATTGGCTGCTCTAGGAGGTTTACATTAGTTTAATCTTATAGCCAAACCAACATCGTGCTTACACATAAATAATTTTAAAAAGATGGGACAATTACAAATTTCTTTGTTCCAATCATCTTTGTTTTGAGGTAGTCTTACAAAATAAATGCTTAATGCTTATATTGATTAAAAGAATTCCATTCTAAATTTTTCACAAAATTTATTTAATCCTGATTAATAATTTCAATTTATCACCAAGGATATGGTACTCAATGTAATCACCCCTCTCAATTGATAGAATTTTTTTTTAATTTTTGTCTAGTTATAACTTGATTTACATATTTCTAAAGTAATTGTTGGATATGTCATAAACACTTTTTGAGAAGTAGTATACTGACTTGAAGAGGCTGGCTGCTAGCATAAAGACATTTTGCAACTATTCCTATAGCAACAATTTTAAAATTGGATAAAGGTAAGCGTTCTCTAACCGTATTTTCATCTTTGATTACTCACTTTCTTGCTTCTAGCGCATTGATGATGATAGGTAAGGTGTTTAAAACTTTCATACCATGTGTTGTTTGAATCCAATTTCTAAATATTTAACAAAGTCAGGAACTGCTGATTCCCATTTTTTAATAAAGAATATAAATTGGATTTAATAATAATTTGGTTTTGACTTAATTGTAATTTATTGATATCATCTATAATCTCAGCTTGATGTAATTTTGGTACTAGGGAAAAATTAAAACTCCCCAAGTAAATAATTATTTATTAACTGATCAAAGATACTAGCCAAATTATTTTAAATACTGCCCGAATCAATAAAAAAAACGAAAATTAAATATTAACAGCCCAAAAATTTTAAATACCTACCAAATGTTTTTTATACTCCCCGTTTTGATTTATTTTGCTGCCCATTTCTTAATAAAAAACTGCTCGAATAATTTGTTCTATTTTACCTTTTTTTTGAATTCTAGTCAATCTATTCAACCACTCGATGAATTTGTTTGCCCACGAAGATGAACACATGTAAAACTTTCATTTCAAAAATTCAAATTTTCTTATTATTTATTGTTATATAAGATAGTAACTTAGCTTCGATTATTCAATATTATCTTTATAATATATAAAATTATTGTATTATATTTTCAATAAAAAAAAATGCTTATTTATAAAATATTCTTTTTGTTGCCTCATATAAATGATTAATCTGAAGTGTTGGCTCTTTTGAATAATTTTATTAAAATTATTATAAAAAACTAGCTTTTTCTTTTGATTCCGTCTTTGGCATAATGATTGTGCACCTTCCATTTTTTATAATTGATTTAGCAAACTAAAATTAGAAGATGGAAATTGGCTCGAGAATTCAAATTTGATTGGTCTGTTTTTTAAGATTATTATGCCCTATTACTAAACAGTTGTTTAACATATTTTTTCTGTATGAATATTTTACATTAAATATTATAGAACGACGCTCTTTACTTTTCTATTAATAGATTTAATTATATTGTTAATTATTTTTTAACTCATGGACTGCCCATATAAAAAAATATCAGGCTCTAGAATAAATCATTACAGAAAGGAATATATCATAATACTAGATCTTTCGGAATTCAGAATTATTTTTTCGGAATCTGTTAAAAACAAGCCACAAAGATTTGGAATATTTATAAACGTGGTGTTTTTTAAAAATATTAATTTCTCAAAATATTTTGGTTAGCCCTACAAAATTATAATTTTTTTAAATTTTATTCCTATAGTTAATTTTTGAGGGATTGGTTTCGCTGAATTGATTTGATAATGTGCAGATTACCTACCTTATAAATTTCACACAATTTGGCTATTAAGGTTATTGTATTTTTTATAAGATTTATATGATAAATCAATATATAAGTTAAGAGATATTCAATAATTTAGGTAAATTCGAAATTCATAGGCTGGAAGAAAAAATATATCATCTGACTCGAAGAAGAAGGTAAAACCCGATATTTGGAATGTTTTTCTGGACTATCTGAAATTATAAACATTTTATTTGTAAATTATCGAAATATCAATGTATCTTCACACCCGATAAGACATAAGTATGATAAAACACCCTCTATATTAAACGTATCCACAAGAAACTAATTAAAATGTTAATAAAATTTTAAATTAATTATCATTAAATAAAAAATAAAAATTTTATGATGGATTTAAAATATTATTATCACAATACAATTATTCCCTTTTTGTGGCAATATTGGTATCTATCATATATTAGTTCATCTCACAATTTATCTGTACCGGTAAAAAATCTTAATTGAAAGTTTAATTTCATTAATTAATAAGAAACAGGACTCTGGTTAGATATATGAACTGATGATTTTAAAAAGTTTAATTTAAATATATTGCCTTTGCATTACATCACATGACCCGTAAAAATAGACTATCTCAATAAATTCATTACTAACCAACCTTGGGAACAAAATTCTAAGAGCTCTTGAGTATTTCACTCGACGAAATTGTTTCGTTCATATGATAAATATCTTATAAGAAAGGTATACTTAAGGAAAACAAAATAATATCCCAAAAATCAGCCAGACTATTACCATGACAAAAGATTTGACTTGCTATAAGAAACAAAGCGATCGCAATTAAAATTTAAAAACAAACGCTTTATCAAGATTGGAAGCTAGATGGTAATTGGGGATATCCGTAAAATGAGTATTTGGATAAAGATGATACAAAGACGTAAAATACTTTAACCATAGGTTGCCTAAGATACCGAAGTTGAAAAAAAAACAAGTTATCACAAGGTATTATTATTTTATAAATGATTGATTTTAATGATACTTATATAAATATGAAGGACGATAATTACCTAGTAAAAGTGATTTTTTATTTTATTTACGTTTCTGAATATTTATATTTTTAAAAAAATGATAAAACACTAAAAAATTAAATCAGTATATAAAATTACCAAATAAAAATAAATATATATCTATATTATAAGTATCGAAGGCTCTAAAAAGAGCTTATTTAATAATGAATATTTACATAAAAAACAATTGTGTTTAAAAATTTCTAGTTGAAGTTTTTGTTTAAGAAATATGGATTCGGGATTTTATTAAAAATTTTCCGCGATAAAGTTTTTAAAAAAAATATGTAGACGGGAAAAATTGCTGGTAGTTGATATGACTATTGGCTGAAATATAAAGTTATTTAATTTTGAATATTTTTTTATTTTCCCAGCAATTAAGGGGGCTTGAATTAATTGAAGGAAAGGAGGAGACGCAGTTGGAATCACTAAATTTTCTATAATTGAAAACGGCCAAATCTATTTGTAATAAACATGTTCCATAAAATTTTAACATTTATGTCACCGGAAATTAAGAATGCCTGATGAAGTAGAAAGATTGAAAGTAAGAAAAACTGTCAAAAATTTATTATTTTCTTATCTATACGCTGAAACGGAGAGCAATGATAATGTTGCTCAAACCACTCCATAAAAATATACTTACAAATATTTTAAGCATACAATTTTTATTATTTTCTTATCTATACGCTGAAACGGAGAGCAATGATAATGTTGCTCAAACCACTCCATAAAAATATACTTACAAATATTTTAAGCATACAATTTTTATTTTTTCTCCTATATTATATATGGGCTAATATATATAAATTAAAGTTTTAAATGGCCATATTTCTGATTCAAATTAACATTTATTTGATTATTTTAAAAAGAGAGTAAATTAAAGATGGTGAGTTTAAATGAAATCGATATATGAATATTCATAAATTTTAAAATGGAACTCCTGAATTGTTATATAATAAAGATGGGCACAACCCACAAATGAAATTGTGCAAGATACTTTTACGGACCTGGCCAAAGTTTTGAAATTTTATTTAAAGTTGATTATAAAAGATTATTTAAGGACGAAACACTAAATTATTTGATGGGATAACTATGAGCCGTGTCAAAAAACAACAAATTTCCACGAGCCGATTCAGGCCTACTTAGAAAAACAACAATAATTTTCCGTATTCAACTCGCGATTCAATTGGTTGGTTGGAATTTCTTTAAAAAAAACCACCATCAAACCTGGAAACCTTGATTACTTAATATTTTTTTATAATCATTATGTCTCATTAGAGTTGTTTAAATGTATTTTTCAAATGTCTATAGTAGACACAGGTAGATACCCTTATATCTAGATACAGATAAGATATTCTCGAGATACAGTCTTATAATCATATTCATAAAATGCTTGCACAGTTTAATATTTTATTTATTTTACATTATAAAATGTGTCTATTAGCTATTTTTCTCGTGATAATTTACTTGATGGAAACCAGCTCAGTTTTTAATTGGGTGAATATTTAAACTAAACAAGTATGTAGGATTAAGGTTAGAGAGATATGGGTTAGGATTAATTAGAGGTTTTAAATTTTTAAATATGAATTAATGTTGTGATATATAAAAATGGTTTTTAAGAAAATTTAATCATTTTTATTAATAACTTGTTAAATCTGACAGGTCATGTGATTAAAAATAAATTCCTTGAGATGAACTTGATTTTGATTAAAAGTTTATACTTAAAGATAATTTTTTTTAAAAAAAAAGCCCAGTTAAGTTTGAATTTTTTTTAATGCTATGCTAATTAAATTGTTATTCATCAGTAGTGTTGCTAAGAATTCCCACTTTGGTCGATTATTTAAAATGGCCAGATTAAGGTTTTAGCTAAAATAATATTATGCAAGCCTCGAGATTTATCAAATAGAGGTTCAAACCTTTCTGCTATTTATGAACAAAATCTCTATGCTTACATATTATTTTGGCTAAAATATTAATCGGGCCATTTTTTATAAATCGAACATTTTTACTACACTATGTTCATCAGTCAGAATGACTAGTAGAATAATCTGAAAATTCATAATATATATATATTATTATTACCATCATATTTTCGTCATTCATTGTAAAAAGTAAAACTTTTCTTGAATTGAAAAAATATAAATGACTAAATATTTAAAAACCAAAAATAGGATTAAATTTCAAAAAAAAAGCTAAAATTAGTTTACATCAGATATATCAAAATAAGATGCAGGCAGATCTAAAAAATTAGGATTGGACATATACAAAAATTGGTACTCTACAGGGCTCTAATTTTACTGGATATCAAAATATTTTCTAATAATAAAAACAAAATAATTAACTTTTCTGTAATTTTATTCATATAGTAATTTTGTATATAAAACTAAACAGCATATATATATAACGTTAAGATAAAAAAGGTTTTGTATCATATTAAAATTTTAATGCTCTTAATCGTATAACAATAAATTTAGCTTTAATAGAAAAAAAGAGCATTAATAAACAATATAATCATTAGAATATATTAAATAGAAAGGGTTTTGTGCAAAATATTACAAAGTTAAATTAATTTACTGATTCTTATTGATTCGTCGTTTTTTGACGTTAGTTTCCTTGTTAGTTCTATACGGAAGAATTTCCTTAGCATATCTTTCTTTATCCTTCATTGCCTTCTTTTCATATTTAAGTTTCAAATCTGGGGGACATCTGCTCCATCGATGACCCAATTTTTTGGCTATATTACAAACTGAAAGACTTGGATGCGCTTGCTTTATTTTGGGTCTTTCATCCATTGAAAAGAAGAAGAACGCGGATAACGCTCTTTTGGGTGCTTTCGGATCCTTTTCCTTCTTTCTTTTTCTGGCACTTTTAGGCCCATCATAGGTGGCCATTTCATTTTTGTATCTCAAGCCATCCTTTTCTGCCATTTCTCGAAAAAGCGTCTTTGCCTGGGAATCCATTGTTTTCCATTTCTCGGCACACATCTTTGAAAACTCCCTAAACACTAACTTATCATTTGGACATTTAGATTTTTGCTCCTCACGGCATGTTTGTACAAAAAAGGCATAAGCATTGGTCCGTCCTTTCGGTTTACCATCCCGAGCCATTTTATTCAATATTCTGTATTCTAGTAAAAAAAAATAATGTCAAGTTGTGATGCTAAAATTTCTCAGTTTCTTTTAAAGATATTTTCTTTAAATTTGAAATGAATGATTTAACATTGAATCGATTGATGACGAGTTCATATTATCTGCTTATACTAATAAATGCATCAGCTTATAAAAATTTTGCGCAATTGTTATATGATAAATATAAATTAATATACAATATTATCAACCTTTTTTGCTCCTTTGAATCTTTCTCATATATCGTGTTGCTAAAAATATTCGCCCACAATTTCCTTTGAAGATTAAATTTCTCATATCTGGGTTCGAACCTGGTTTTCAGATTTTAAACAAAATTTAATATTCCCTTCCTCCGAGTCTCTAGTTAATTTTGAGTTATTCCATTGTATCGAAAATGTTTTAACATAATATCTTATAATAATATTCATAAACCATATATTACCCTTTCAACTTTATTTACAAATAGTGCTGTAAAGTAACGTCCTTACTAACGCCATTACCTTTTTTGAAGAAATAGAACCAAATTTGTTACCTTCTTCTAGAAGTAACTAGTAAAGGTAACGCGTTTCTTGTTTCTTTTTTTTGTGTAACGGTAACGCAAAACGTTACTCGTTACTTCAAATTTTTCTTACAAAATATGGGAAAAACATATTGTATTATAAAATTATTTTTATTATTTTTTACATTTTATAAATAATTTAAGGATAGTTTTTAAACCAAATTCCATCATTTTTATTTTAAATTTTCAGTCAAGATTTTTGATCTAATTAATATTGAATCAATCAATATTTTTAAAAAATATTATGTTAATTGTACATTTTCTACAGATCAAGATGAGTAAAGCCTGCCTTGGCTCAAATATGAAACATTTATTTCTCACACCAATAAAGAAAACTAAAGGTACAAAGTTTACATTTTATAGGTGTAAATTGTGTCCCAACTTAAATATTTTAATCTCAACTGTGGAATAAATATGGGCATCCATTTTTAAGGAAAAAATGGGATATCTGATTAAACTGGTTATAACAAGATTTAACTTTTTCTATAACTCCATAAAATTAGTAGAGTCTTATTAAGGAGAATGGCCACAAATTTGACGAATCTTGTGATAAATCTAAATTACAGAGATTTTCAGATAATGACAAGTCATTCGCAGATGAATATTGTATAGCTATATATATATTATTTTATAGGTTATAGAATCTGTTCCTGCGGCTTTCGATTTTAGAGAGAGAAGAAAAAATGCATTTGGGAAATCTCACTCCCACGATAACTACTATAATATTTAAAAAATGGCTTTAAATAATTTTATTTTGTACACCACTTATTAATGCAATTATTCAAGACAAAGATAAAAAATATACAGTTGAAGTATTGTTCACAATTTATATTTTGATAATATTTTATTTTAATTGAATAATTGTCAACAATAATTCACTATTTAAATCAGATTGGCCCTCTTAAAACTTGATGTCAGCGAAGGAAGTTATTTTCAGCTTCAGAAAAGATCCAGACATAGAAATGGCAGACTTAATTCCATTAAACACAACAAACTACATATTATTTTCTAATATAATTTAAATCTTTTATTTTAATATTTAAAATGAAATTCTGATATTTTAATATGTAAATCTTATATTTTAATATAAATTATAATTAAATCGATGCCTTGATGATAAAAATAAAAATAAATTGTAACCTAATTAGATTGATAAACATGCATTAAATACATATTAATTAATTAAATCAATTTATTTATTCAACAATAACATTTTAATGTATTTGACCAGATCAAATACTCCTTCAATCAATTGTCCGAATTTGACCTGTCAATTGACCAACTTGCCAGCCCTGATTAGTATTGTTAAACGGCTCATTTTGAGCCGATTTTTTAAAACGACTAACTCAAAATTTTAGGCATAAAAGTATTGCCTAAGCCTCGAGATTTCGATAATATATGTCTTGTCCTTTGTTCCTTCTAAGAGAAAAACTTTAGGCTACGAAATATTTCTCTCAATGAAATATTGAGTTAACCGTTTTTAAAAATCGGCTTAAAACGAGCCGTTTAACGACACTAGCCCTGATTTATATTTATATATAAGAAAAAAACCTTTTTGTATATAATATTTAATTTTTTAAGTAACGAGCAATAACGTATGTTCCTTTTTTCATAAGGTAACGAGTAACGAAAACCCGTTCTTTTTTTCAGACATAACGAGTAACGCGTTTTTTGAGGTTATATTTACATCACTATTTACAAATGTTAAAAACAAATATTTTGAATGTTTCCTCAATTTGGACTTCTAATCTGCCAAAATTTTAAAAAAATATATACGGTTGGGGCTAAATTATTTAGTAAGTGGAAAGGCGAATGTTATGTGAGGGTCAGATATCTATACCTTAAAATATTTCTCAATAAAAAATAAAAGCATCATTAATAATTAAATGTTTAATCCCATAATGAAATAATTAAAATATTTATTTACCAAAAAAAGTTTTAGTTTGATAATTGATAGATAATCCTATCGCCTTCGGTTCATTAAACACCAAAAATATCGTCACAAATATATTTTTTTTTCTTGAAATTATTTAAATATAAGCTGACCATCAAATCAAAATATTTTTTTAATGTGAAAAGTCAAGATCCTCTTCAAAAATATCTTTAACACACGCATTAAAAAATAAATAAAGAATAAATTTATGAATCCCCAAAGACTATTTAAAAAAATTTTTCTTCAAAATTCAAATAATTATTGATTAATAAACATAGGCCCAATATAATATTATCCAAAAAGTAAAATAATGGTTTCCAAAAATTTAATATAATATAATTAAAATTAATTATCAATCCTTATATTTCTTTATAATCAAGAAACGGGGGGGGGGGGGGGTATATGATAACGCGATATTGGAAGGGGGTAGATGGTTATCAAGATGCTATCGTCAGGATATAATTGGAGGGAGGGGGTAAGGTAGTTTTGATTTGAATTTTCATTTTTTTGCTAGTAGGTGGAGGGTATTGGGTAAAATTTAGAGGGGATGTGGTGGGGTAAATTATAAACTTATTGGGGTGTAGAAGTCATTATAATTATTTTATCTCGGTTAAATTAGTTCGCAAGATAATAGCTGCATGCGTCCAAATAGTGCGATATCTTTGGACATATATCGAAATTTTAGCTTTTGAAATATGGGGAATTCTTCGAAGTATACAACTACTAAACAGACCATAATTCCAAATTAATACAACTACTAAACTAAACAGGCCATAATCTTAATGTACGAACGTTCGAAATATTCAAATTTTTTGGAAATGATATTTTGTAACGTTCGATATTTGGCTTTGCTATCTTTTATCATTATACGTTCCGACACTCAATGGCCTTACTTTAGAAAGTTTAAATGGTAGCCTATGAATTCGCTCAGTGACGTCACTAGCCTTTTAAAACTAAAAGGGCTTTATTCAAAAAATAAAAAAAAAATTCCTAAGACTGTGTCCAAATTATCAAATTAAATTCAAAAACTTTCGAAACTTTAATGAAAATAAATACATAAGCTATTTTAAATATAAAAACGTGTCCGAAATATTCTAAATTTTTTTTACAAATTTCAAAAATTTAATACAATTTCATTAAAATATTTAAATTTGCAAATGTTTTTATACTTTTTGAATTATTTTGGACAGAGTTTAAATTAAATCCATTAAAATTTCTAATAAAAATTAATTAATACTAAATTAAATTACTAATAATAAAAAAGTAAATTATAAATTAATACTAAATAATATTAAATAGAAATTCATATACTAGAAGTTAGAGAGCTGCAAAAGCAGACTCAACCCGAATTTGGGCTTATTTTTTAAATAATTTTAGTTAAGGCTGGGTCAGGCCTTATATTTTTTAAAAAAGATTCGGGCCTGACTTAAATTTTGAAATAAAATTGTTATATTTTAAAATTTTTGCCAGAAACAAAGCACCAAAAATAATTGGTTTTATCATAGATAATACTATATTTAATTTCTTATTCAAATATATTTCTTAATTATTTTTTTTTAATATATTTACTATGTATTCGACCAAATATGCAAAATGCGGGTCTTAATTATCTCCAAAAACATCTTTTTACCATTATTATTGGAGAAAAAAAAATATCTTCCAAAAAAAAATTGTTTGAATAATAAATAAAATCACCAAAAATTTTTTTGTTAATTATTTTCAGTATACGCGTGCATCTTTCTCTCTTTCATTCCTAAATTTCGTCCTACATTACCCTGCATTCACAGTTAGCGCTAATTCGTGGCGGAGAAAATAAAAATACAGTAAATTTTATATAATTCGATGCGAATTCGCGCTAACTATAAATGAGGGGTTAAATGGACGGGGAAAAAATGATTAATTATGCTAGTTTTATCAATAAAATAGTAAAGATATCCAAATTATTGGCAAATAATTTAAAGTGAAAATAAAACCTGTTGATATATATACTATATAATTTGTTATTGCTTTGACTTCTATAAACTTCCAATAACGTCTATTTTAAAGACATTAACTTTAGAAAAAAAATACTATAATAAGTTAAATTTTATGATTCAGATAAAACCGGGGATTTTTTGGCAAAGTATACTTTAATCCTATATTTTCTAAAAGATATATATATATATATATATATATATATAGGTAAGAAAATATAAAAGAAATATTTTTACATCAAATTTAAGGTTTTTGTCTGTGTCCTTGTTCGATTTAATTTTTGAAACTTAATCGCTTTTTAGCCAGGACACCCTATTTAAGGTTGTTATTTAGTGGCATTGTTATTTCTTTTTCTTATTTTTTTCATAAAGGTTTTATATTGCTTTTAAACTGTTTAGTAATAAGTGGACCCATGACACGGCCTTTATGCTTAATGGTATAAAAATAATAAGCGTTAACATCAACCGCTTTACCCTGGTCTCCCCTACAATGAATATTTCTTTACATATATAATTT